TTTTTTTTTTTTTGTTATGTAAAAAAAAATAAAAAAATTGAACTTTTATGGCACTCTCTACAAGGTAGGATTGATTCTACCTTTCTGAAGATCATTTTATTCTTTCTTAATTTATTTTGTACTAGTTTTTAACAATGATTTATAGTTTAAATAGTCTTATTTAGATTTCATCTCCTCATTAATCATCTATAATTATTTTATAGAAAAATATTAGTCATTTTTTTTATATGCTACAGCTACAGCTACACTTTCAAACCCTCGTGGAATAGAATGCAGCACTTTCAAACCATCATGGAATAGAATGCACACTCAAGTACTAAACTTCATTTTATTTGTCCAACGAGTTTGGAGGCATTTTAGTTTCTACTTTCTACATCTATTTAATTCAGAAAAAAAAAAAAAATGCATTTTGTGGATAACTTAACCTTTTTACTTTGTTTTGGTTATATATTGCATGCCCCGTTTGATTATAAGTCAATGGCCATTCAATATCTTAAAGATTAAAAAAGATCATATAAAATTGTTCATTTAATTTGTAGGAAATTTCTCCAAATATTAAAATCGGATTAGTAAATGTCATATTATTGATTTTCAAATTTTTTTAATATAAAAGTTTACATAAAATTAGTATTGTTTTAAATATTATACTGAAAATCATACCGGACAAATCATCTTTATAATCGTTCAACCGGTTTTATCACCCATTTTATTGATTTTATAAAAATATTAATGAAATTACTACAATAATATAAATAATAAATAAAAACCAACTTCACTTAATGCTAATATTAGTTTAAAATTAAATTATGATATAGACAAATTAAAATTAACTGTAGAACTTTAATTTATGTAAATAATATGAAAATAAATTTATTTTAAAATTAAGTAGAAATTTAAAATTTTAAGTACTTTTATAACATAATATAAAATATTAAAAAAATAAAAGAATTATATAAATAAATTAATAAAAAAGTATAAAGTACTAAAAAAATACAGTATTATTCAATGATAGTATTTTTGTGTGAAACTAGTATAATTAAATATTTTGACGAACAATATTTAAAAGGTAATCATATCATATAAATTGGAGCACAATATAATCGGTAATAACATTATCATGTGGTTGCAATATAGAATCAATGACACTAGAATTTTTTTTGCACATAAGCAATTAATGCCATTTATGATAGCCTAAGGGAAAGGTTGGTATGGTCCCCCACAGGTTAAATTTTGAGTTGGTGACATAAAAATATTCTTACATTAAACCAACACACATTGTATTTATATATATAAATATATGCATATTTTCATTAAAATATATCATACTTAAAGAAATACTAACATATATCAAAATGCAACACTTGATAATATAAATATATATTTTTATTGAAAAGTATAATGAATCGACAATTCTAACAATTAGGTCGCCTCACACAAAATTAAAGAAAATGTATATAAGTTTTTTGTTTCATTATGGAAACTCCATTGCCTCACTGTGCATTTACCAGAATCTCACATTTTGCCCCCGACAAAGTTGTGATAATTATTGTCTTAACATTATTTTGTCCAAACACATTAAATTTCAAATTTCGCAGTTAATGCACCACACCAATACGATTTTTTTTTATCAGTCTAATAAAACCAGTGAATCTACATGAAAAGATTGTCCATGGAATGGAAGTTATAATATAATTATATCACAAATGTTGTTAGCTACCTAATCGTGAGTCAAAACACATTCTCCTACAAAATTTGCATGCTTATTGCAATACCTTCATTTATATTGTGTTTTAAACATGATTTTAGTACGAAATAATATAAATTTGTTGAAAAAAATTATGACAAGCTAACCATCGGACAAAATCTGCTCGACAATTAGACATATCAGTATGAAAAACATGCAATATATGTTGAGAAAGTTAGGCCACCTAATGGTTGGGTCTGCCTAACGAATCATTCTATCGTACAACACAAGTACATCAAACTCAAAAATCGAAAGACTTTGTATAAAATATAAATATCTACATTAATAATTGATCTCCGAATATGTTGTCACATAAAGAAATGTAGAAGTTCAGAGAAAGAGAGCAATTTAAGAATATCACTTATCAAATATTGTAAACAAAGAGTTGAAAAGCAAGCTTATAAAGTGGCTTTCAAACTGAGAGCATTAATCAGGACATAATAATGAACATTTGAAAACTCGAGATATAATAAAATTCAGGACCTAACAATTACAACATTTATATTCCTCTCCATACATGTTGCCGAAAAATACGAGCTACAAATTACCATTTTCTCCCTGTTTATCACGCCTAATCGGAACCTATTTTGCATGATTGTATTTTCTTTATCTCTCTCATCAATAATGGCAGAAAACAGATAAATAGGCCTCTAATTTTCGACTCCGATCATACAACATGCTCATTGTTTTTTTGTGTTCTCTGCTAATATAAATTTACGAGTAAATTTAATGTAAATTTACGAGTAAAGAATCTGTACAAGTAGCCTGTCAATTCACCTGAGCAAGAATTTCACTGGAAGGAATATCAGCCAGAGTTTCCTTCCCAAACACTGTAAATCCAACTGTTGCCTGCAAAAAAAGGTTTGAAATTCAATACAAAAAAGGATTTCAAAGTTTCTTTTATTAACCACAAATTATAAGTAAAAAAGAAACAATTAAGAACGAGAAAGAAAGAAGGAAAGAAAAAAATAATTGTAGTCTCAAATGTCAGTATCCGCTTCTGATTATTCTCAACTTAACAAAACTTTTGAAAGACTTCTCCAGGTTTCACTTTCATGCAAGTAGATGGCTTTTCACAGGTTATTAAAAAATAAAAGAAATCTTTTCAACTAACTAAAATTTTTAGCATCTGAGTGCCAAAACTATCAACTATATTTATAAACAAAGAAGTTTATATGAACACACCCATAGAAAAATCAATTATTAAGCAAAGCCAATGGGATAAACATCACGAATGTGTAAATGTGCAAATGAAGTTCAGAAATTTACCAAGAGTCCTATAGATTTATTTACGCTAAACAAATTCATCGATAACCAAAGCCAAAGAAACAGCAGAAACTCAACTTAACTAAGCTACAATCAAAATTACATCATTTGTTAAGAAAGTTTAACACTATCCATATTTAGAGCGAGAGCTTTTATCGCTATGGTCTTTCACAAATTCTTGTACGAGGCTACGGCCTAACCATTAAACAGGTCAACCCGTCATACTTTTTTTTTTTTTAAGAAAATGCATATCTATGTTATGAAACGACATACTTTTGTTTATGTTAATTTTTTAGATTATAACATTTTAGTTTCAAAGTTTGAAAATTGAAAGTACGCATATTAGTTGAAAAAGTATGGGTGCGTAACCGTTAGACATGCCAAACAGCTGACTACTTAGGGTGTGATTCGATATAAACTTAACTAAAAAAACCCAATCAAAAACTAAAATTTAACTCAACTTTAACTCAACTCCACTATCCTAAATATTATCAATATAATTAAATAATATCAACTAATCATTCTTACACATCACATCAACTTTAATTCACTATTCATCCACTCACATAATTTTAACTAACCATCACTTCCAATCATTTTTCTCTTACTTTTACATCAATCAACTTTAATTATTTTATTTTAAATAATATTTTAATTTAAACTTAAATTCCTACTAACAACTAACCATACCACAGTTTTTCAAAACTAACTATGGTTAACAAAAAAACCAATCAAATATATATTCAATCACACCTTACTGCTTATATATATATCGTTATGGTGATTGCTTAATTTAATTGCGAACTAAAAGAAAATCTTCGTCGTATGTCACGTGTGACTTATCTTTATGACATAAGATACAAGATCGGTATAAGAAAAAACATACCAGCCCTGTCTTCTTGTCAACCTTCGTAAGCGTGCCAGAAAAGCCTGCAAATGACCCAGATACAACTTGAACAGTCGAACCAGGTTTCAAGGCTGTAATTTTACCCGCTATACGCTTTTCTTCAGCTTTTCCACCTCTTCTTCCGGGCTTTTTCGTGGCATTAGAATCCAATTCTTGTTCCTTTTGTTGCTCTTCTTCAAAAGCTTGATCGGCTTTTTCTTGCTCTTCCTTTGCTTGCTTGAATATTGCTTCCATAGCTGGTTCATCGACTGGCCTGGGCTTTTTTATCTGCCGCTTTCTGTACGAGCCAACAATAAAATTGAAACAAACTGGACGTTACAATTTTTTTGAAATCATTTTTAAGTAAACGTGAAATGTATGCTTCATTTGCATCGTTAAAAATTAAAAATATATTGTATCGTTGTATGGTGTTTTTTTCATAGACTCCAACGATAGATAACTTGTGATACCCGAGTGGAAATAGAAATGATAACCAGCAATTTACATATAAAAGAAAAAAAAAACAGCGATTTACATATTAATTCAATAAAGTTGTTGAAAATTATAGCAAAATCATATGTCCTGCATGTCGTACTTTACTAGTATGTAATAACAGTTAGGTTGTGTTTGGTAAGAATATAAGTTAGCTTATAGCTTATTTGATTAGCTTATACGCTTCCTGTATTCAAATAAGTTCAGTTTGGTAGGACGAGCTTTTTAAAAAAAACTCGAGCTTATCTCATAAAGCTTCCTTAGGTAGCTTTTCAAGTAAGCCAATTGAAAATTTTATTGCAACTAGCTTACCAGCTAATTTTACCAAACGCTTTTATAATATAAGCTAGCTTTTTCAACCATAAGTCATAAGCTATCAGATCGAAATTAACTTAAAAGTTATAAGCTAGCTTATCAACTAGGTTTGCCAAACATAGCCTTACATGAAATGAAACCAATAATATATACAAGGAAAGAATGAACCTTCTCAACAAGAATAACAGGAACAACTGAGAACTCTTACGTTTTTCCAACCATAAACCCAACAAAACCCCCAACCCCTCGGCATTCTCGTATGCAATCATGCACATCCTTATTCAGCACGCATCTTAGGAACACACATCCGGGATACAGTTGTTTTGGTTTAACAGAAATCGAGCCATTCTTTAATTTTTTCTTGATTTGAACTGATGGAGCATACACCTGCATATTTTCCATTATTAACAGTATATAAGATGATAAGCCGATCCTTAAAACTGCTCTAGATGAGCTTTAGTCAGTAGAAATACTCGACACGAGCAGCCTAAAGAAGTAATTCAACTACACAGCAAGTTTGCTTTAGTGTCTGAAATCAATCTAGCTTCACCAAAATAAGGCCAAAACAGCCTATAAGATGATAAACCAATCCTTAAAACTGCTCTAGATGAGCTTTAGTCAGTAGATATGCTTTACACGAGCAACCTAAGAAGTAAATTAACTACACAGCAAGTTTGCTTTAGTGTCTGAAATCAATCAAGCTCCACCAAAATAGGGCAAAAACAGCCAAATTCATAAACCCAGGTTTCTTTAGGGACAAACTTTTGAACATTATCAATGTTACAAGTGCTGAATTGTCATAGCTCGGTTTTCACCTTGAACTAAGTTCACGGGTTTTTTCAATCGGTTCCATCTTGTCGTTTACATTTTACTCACTGTAAGCTGCATATCCAAATATCAATCAAAAAATCTTAAAAAGTCCTTAAATATCACTCAAAATCTCAAACGAAAACACCCTCGACCAAAGATAGAACCTCAAAATAAAATTAGATTGATCAAAATATCAAACGAAACCCACAATTCCACTCAATATCCAAAACACCGAACTTATGAAAGTAAGAACAACAAGCCCAAGACCATCTGCTTGGCTTCAACTACATCTTGAGAAGCTCTACCTTTCAGTGCACACAACAAGCAAACAAACATAGTTCATAACCTTGATTTAATTCTTGACAATAACAAATTCAAACCCAGACAAAAAAAGTACCTTAAACTCCGCATCAGGGAAGTTTCGGGCCATGGAGAGGGCCATCCTTTCTGCGCTATCCTGGCTCGAAACTTGGGAGACTTTAACAACCCACCACTGGGGCCCCAACATGGCGAGATTATCCAGATTCAGTTCATCCTTCCACGAGGCGTAGCGCTTTTTGGGCTTTTCAATAAGCCTCATCTCGACCTCTTCCTTCCAATTGTAAGCGGGCTTGCTTTCTCTCCTCTCGTTCTTCATCTTCCTTCTCTCTCGGGCCGTGAGCGGGGTTTCGTCCACCGAGCTGAGGGTCGCGGTAATTGCGAGTAACTTGGGTTTGTGGGTTTTGGGGTTTGGAGCGGCCGGGAAAGGGAGGGAGATGAATGCTGAGTTTGGGCAACGACTCCATGGGAGAAGTCCCTTCATCTTCTTCTTCTCTTCCTCGTCGTTTAGGAGCTGAGGAATATATGTTTGGTAGCTCGATTTTCTCTGGTTGTGGATAACGTAGTTTGTGCTTTCACGAAGAAAAAATGATTTCGACTTCGAACAAATTTAATATATTCACTTAATCAAGCAATTTTAATATATTTGGTTACTAAATTATTTTAACACAAATTATTGATCGAATAATAAAGTAATAAACTATGTGAATATTAACCGGTCCGAACATAATCTATATGAGCTCTAAATGTTTAAGCTCAACTCGTTCGATTTGATAACAAAATCAACTACCTTGAGCAAGATTCGACTTCCCGATCCATCAGCTGGAGTCCTTTGGCTCAGTGCGCGCATCTCTTGGCAATTTAGCTTTCAATCTGCACACCCTGTGGAAGGCTTTGGAGGACAAGTTTATGAAGTAGAGGGGACAGAACAAACTCCCTTACTCAACTAAGTACTCCGAAGCGATTGTGGAGATTTCAGTGAATTAGGCACGGTTTAATTTGTTGGGCCAAGCTTCAATCTTAATGATGTAAATGGGTAGGGTCTTGAGGCATGACTAATGGGTCAGGTCCACCTCTTGACCCGCTTGCCTCGTTGACCACGAGTTTTATGTCTGCATTATAATTGATCTTGGGATCGTTCTATCGATTACGGACATGGTTCAGGGCTAGCAGGTCTATGCCACGACGAATAATTTGAAATTCAAAATTTATATAACTTTTTTAATAAATAAATAAAAATACATTAGGATTAGGCTCAGAACTGGCAAGCCATAACCGGCAGACCTAGCCAAGGATTCAGGTCGGGCCTATAATCAGTAGGCCCAACCGTTTGAAATGCTTCATTTGGTCGGGTTTGAAAGTTATCCAACTTCTACTCAACTTGCTTACTTCTCTCACTCAACTTGTACTCGGCCCATTACTCATTTAGCCACCATTAGGTTCGGTTTGAAATTTACTCGAGTACTTAGGTAAGCTTATAATTTCGTCGAATTTTATTGGGTACCACATTTGGTTTTGGATCCAAACCTATTAAACTGTTTACCTGCCCCACCCAATTTGGGAGTTGGGAGGGAAAAATGAAATATATGAAAAAAAGATAAACCCCAAAATTCAAACCGCTAAAACCCAACCCCGCCATTGTTGAAATAAGCGCTCTCTTTCTGTCTTCTTACCGCCAAAATATTTGGAAAGCTCCCACAAACACCAATACACCATTCAACAACTTCTAATTCCCCGTATTCTCCAATTTCTCTCTCAGCCCACCTTCTGCAATTTCCCAAATTGAGGAGAGAACAAGAAAAATGGCGCGAACGGGAAAGCAGAGCAGGTCGAGAAAACAAGAACTCGTCGGAAAAGGGAAAGTGACTCCTGTCCAGATCGCGTTCCTCGTCGATCGGTACCTTTCAGACAATGATTACGCCCACACGCGGACAACTTTCCGATCTGAAGCCTCCAGCCTCATCGCCAAATCTCCAGTTCAAGAAGTGATTTTTATTTACTCTTCTCCTTTTTCCTTTAGTCGATCTATTTACTTCTCAGCTGACGATCGATTAATTTCCTATGTTTTTTGCAGGCTCCGAAGAGCTTGTTGAGCTTGGGCGCGATTTTGGAAGAGTACATAACGCTCAAGGAGCAGAAGGTTTGGGTGGACCAAGAACGGCGTCGTTTGGAACAGGAGAAGCTGCGGGTGCAGAATTTGCTGAATGGAATGCAGAATGTTATGAATGTTTATAATTCCGGTGAAAATTCCGGCCTTACCCCGCCACAGCCGCTCCCTCCGGCAACTGCTGGATCTGGGGCGATGGCTTCTCAGGTGGAAGTCGAGTCTGCAAGGCCGGCGGGTAACAAATTATTTTCCGTCTGTTCAATTACAGTATGTTTTGGTCTTGATTTGGATGAGTAGCAAATATTGTCCTAATTTCATTTTAGCACGCTACGTGTTTGCTGGAATATGTGGGAAGGCATACATGTATAAATTAGTGGATGACGAAAATTGTCGGTTGCATTATTAGCTGTTGGCTGAGTTTTCGATCTGTTGAAATCGTGTAAGCTCGGATGAAAAAATATACCTTTTCATTTTTTCAATGATTCTATGAACTGAATCTTGTTAGTGAGGTCGGAATAACTTTAGGCTCTGAACAAGGTGTGAATTGTCAATCCAACCCGTTTATAGTTACTTCATAGTTTAACCATATGAAAAGAAACATTTTGGAGATGAAAATGCCTGTTTGCCGACAGAAATGCTTCGATAAACTGATTTGATAATGCGAAATGTTCATGTAGTTGAATTAACATACCGTTGTAATTTGCCTTGCTCTGCAGGCCAATGTCCCTTGTACAATAATCCGGCATTGGTTTCTACATCAAAGCCTTTGAACGTTCTAAAAGATCCTGCAAGCTTCTCTACTCCTGGCCCACATCATGCCACCGCAAAAAGAAAAGAGTTGAGAGATATGCCCTATTGTCCCGTGGTTTCAAAGAAATCCCGCAAGTGCTTGAAAACCCGAGGTATATTCCATGATTAAGACTAGTGATAATTTTTACATTAGTCTGGTCAGTGCTCATGTTTTTGTCATCTGTTCTTGCAGATGGTAACTTAGTCACAAAATCGAGCGTCACTGAAAATAACCACGAAAAACATCTATTAAGTTCTTCTACAGTTCAGTCTTCTGGTTTTGATAATGCTCCTAATGCGTCACAAGTTCAAGGGTCAAATGTGGTAAAATGTCTGTTTAATCATGAAGCTCTTTCTTCTCCAGCTAATAAGTCCTCTGTACCTAAAACACCCACACGAGCATCTTTATCCCAAACTGAAAATTCCAGTTCTCCGATAGAAGTTTGTTCGACTTCTACTCAGCAGGTTATGTCTGCTAACTGCATGATAATATCTTCGGAAACTATTCGAGTAAGCCCCAACAAGCAAATATCGTATTACTCGATAGAGAAAAATCAAATTACTTGTTCTCCGCTCAAAACAAACATGAAGGGTTCTAGCACGAAGAAGGGGCATGTTAAGGGGAGATTAGATTTTGGATCTTCTGATCAAATGCCAACAATCACAGAGAACCAAAGCCCAAACGGGACTTCAACGTCTGAATCCGAGGAAGGAGATTTTCTTGATTTGGACTTGGATGCTTTAGGCTTGGACTTTAATCTCTCAGAATTTCTGATTGACATAGATATGACAAGTGAAGGATTGGGTTTGTCCTCGAAGCAGGTTTTGGATTCTTCTCCTGATTGCAATTCATGGTAATATTGTTGTTTTCTCCGTAAATAATCTCCATTATCAAAAAAAAAAAAAAAAAAAAAGTTTATGGACATGTTGATTTCAGGTCACCTTCTAAATCAGTCAATGTTGAAATGGGATCTAGACAAGTCAAATCTGATTTTTCATCGAGCAAGGCTGGATTTATTGAAGAAAAGGATACAAGTTTGCTCGGTAGGAGGTTTTGAACATTTGTCCTTTCGTGGCCTACTGTTTTTCATATGCAATTTAATAAGTCATTTTAATTTGTATGTAAGTAGGTTCGGATTCTGTTGCTGCCATGCGATCGATTACTAAACGTATCACGATCGTTAGTCCTGGTAATTTTCTACCCTATAAGGAATATACTCTTATTTTCTTGTTGCATTGCATAATCTTGGCTGATAAGTGTCTTTTCCTTTTTCTTTTCTTTTTCTTTTGCTATTGCAGTTAAATGTCAGAGAAGCAATTTTGGACAAGAGAATGTCTAGTTATATACTGACAAATTGAATATATGACGTGATTCGATTTTCCAGAAGTGATTTAATTGGACTGCATTTGTGTAAATGCAATATAGAATTAGTTGTACACTTCTGAATTTCAACATCAGTACATTAAAAATACTCAGGCACACTAATGAACTTTGTATTCGTTTCGATTTGAAATGAAGCTGAACTCAACTGTCTAATTGACTGCTCAATGATGTTTTAAAATATTAAAACACATTTTTCAATCAGGAATTGGAACATATATCCGGAGCTTAGTCTTCAGACAAATATCTCTGCAGATTGTCTATTTCATCTGGGCTCCCGATGAATATTGGTGTACGCTGGTGAATCTGCAATAGCCGAAAAACATAGGAATCAAAGTTTGAACCAGGTAGTAATACAATGTGTCAACTTTGTTAAAGATTTAGTTACTTTCATCTTGTATATATATAGCTTGGCATAATGTCTAGTATTCTTCGGTTCCCATCAATAGCTTTTCCCCCAGCTTGCTCCACTAAATAGCTCATCGGTCCACATTCGTACAAAAGCCTTAAATTCCCGTTCTTGCTATTTTTGTTGTCTGGATTTCCATATATGCCCCCAACAAGCAACATTCTATGAATCTCCCCAACTAGGCAGCCTATATAATGGCCCGAATAAGGCTTTCCATTGGGCCCGGGCTTTCTCAGCTCATCCAGATACTTCTGCAGCTTCTCGTCAAACAAATCGTAATTACCTTCGTTGAATGAGTAGATTCTCCTGGAACTAGGAATCTTGATATTCTCGTGCGTGAGCACGAATTCTCCGTAGGCAGGGTCCAGGGTAAATGCATGCACCCCTCTCCCTATCGAGAGCGTGAAAACCACCGAGCTCGAGTATAAGCAGTAGCCTGCAGCTAGCAGGTTGCTCCCTGGCTGACAAACACTGATTATGCACTTCTCTTCTGCTCGGTCGAGCTTTTTTTCTCGACCCAAATGAGATAGAAAGCAGAGTAAAAAAAAACACATGCAAATGAGAATGTATTAATTATTATGTATGTTGAATAGTAAAATTACCGTGGACTCATCATCGTCTATGTCTAATAAGCACTGCTTTTCTGGGCCGTAGATTCTGAAAATCGAGCCTGTTGTCAAGCTAGTGTCGATATTTGCCGAGCATCAATTGGGTCAAAAACGACAATGTAGTTTCCCGAGAATGTCTCCTCTACTGCAACTGGGACTTCCTCTTCCTCCGAAGCTATAATACCCGTTCGGCCACTCGATCTCAGACAGCCACAAAACAGCTGTTCAAGAAGTTATAACACAAACAAAACCAAAAAAAAAATAATAATAATAATAATATTCGAAAAAAAGTAGAGAAAAACGAGATAAAATTAAAACCTCATTGGCAATGACGTCAAGCTTCTTCTGATCTTCGCCTTGGACGTTAATGGTGCCGTGGGCCCCGGTTAGGTTGATTATGCTGGACCTTTGGAGAAGAGAGGCTATCTGCTTGTAGGCTAGTGAGAAGCTTGATAAGACAATTGTGAGCTCGGCATCTATGTGGCCCGAGCTCTCTTTCTTTAGGAGCCATGTGGTGAGGTTCTCGATTTCGTATCGGCTTTTTTACTTGGTTTGGGGCTCGGTTTGAGGTTTGGGGGCTGTGGTCTCGATTTCGATGGCTTTACAACTAGTTCTGAGTCGGGAGCTGCCGGTAGTTGCCGGAATTGTATGGCGGCAGACGGAGTTCGGTTGGCAGTGGTTTGTGGGGAGGGAGGCAGACCGGAGATTGTTCCACCGAAAAGTGTGAACTGCTTCAGCCATTTACTCTGTGTGTGCGTGTGTGTTTTGTTGAGTTTGTGAAATTGTGACTTGTGAGTGATGGTTGGACCTGCTTATCTTCTTTGCAAGTGCCAATTGTGTGGACCTGATTCATGAGAGGTGAAATTTAGTTAGTGTCCTGAAATAGATGATCTATAAGTTTAAACCAAGGTATTATTATGATTTTGTGGTGCTCTAGGGATCTAAACTGAGCTAAGCTCGAGCTCCTCATATTCGAGCTTGGGATCAAGATGAGCTTAGCTTGGTAAACGAGTTAACTCGACTTGTATGCCAAACTATAGAATATTTCACAAAATTCCTATTTTTGAACTTAAACAAGTCTTAATTGACCAGTTTAGCTCAACTAGATGACTAAACAAGTTTTAAATGAGTTCAAGTTCAAGTCGTTTATCAAACGAGCTAACCCAAGTTCACGAGCAACTTCTTTTGTTTAATAGATGGATTCTTTACTTCAAGCATGTTTTAATTTGTTTAGTAGATGGATTCTTTACTTCAAGCATGTTTTAAATAAAATATTCTACACACTTGGCCAAGAATTTTTGTACCATGATCCACTTATCTATCTGAAGTAGGCAAGAAGCTCCCAAATATCAGGTCCTAAATTTTTACAAGATTTTAGTTTGAAGATAAGAAACAAGACAAGCTATATTTTCTTGATTCTCCAACTTTTTACAGAATTCCAAAATAAAAACTTTTCACTTTCCAAAAGAATAATCACCCCACAGATTGTTTATGTTATGTCCATCAAAATCTAAACCTTAAAATTACATTTCAACGTTCCTCACTCAAGCCAAGTATTTCTCCAACTTCTCCACCTCCTCCATGCTCCCAATGTACAATGGTACCCGTTGATGTATCTGCACGAACCAAAAAAAAAAACATAAGATCACACGAACCCAAAAAAATCCCACATCCCAAAACGATTTTTTTTCGACTCTTTTATTTCGAAAGATTCAAAAGACGATGAATATTAACCTCCGTTGGCTGAATATCGAGAATCCTTTGATGCCCATCTGACCCTTTCCCGCCTGCTTGCTCCACAATAAAGCTCATAGGCGCACACTCGTACAAGAGCCTCAATTTACCATTCTTGCTCTTTTTATCTCTCGGGTAGCCGTAAATTCCTCCGTACAATAAAGTCCGGTGAAAATCACCGACCAAGCTTCCGATGTACCGGGCTGAGTAAGGCTTACAGGTGGGGCCCGGGTCCTTGAGATCGTCTATATACTTCTTTAGCTTGTCGTCCCACAGCTGATAGTTACCCTCGTTGAAAGCGTAAATTTTTCCCGATTTGGGTATTTGGATTTGCTCTTGTGTTAGGACAAATTCGCCGAACATTGGGTCGAGTGTGAAGGCGTACACGCCTCTACCGAGGGTGATCACGAATATGACGGAGCTCGAGTACATGCAGTAGCCTGCCGCGAGCAAGTTGTCGCCAGGCTGGCACACGTTCACGACGCACCTTTGTTCCGAGGTGCCGAGCTGCAAGAAATCGAGAAATTCGAGGATTTTTTTTTTTCCAAGATTTGGTAAAATGGATGAGTTGAAACCAATAATTGTTTTAGAGGGAGAATAGGAATTTCTTAAATACAAAAAGTATTCATTCAATCATCCCACTTTTCTCTACTCAATCTTGTCGACATAATTTTTAACTATTCATCCATTCACATAATTCTAAACTTTGTGTTATTATGTCATATGACATAAGTTTTCAATAACTACATATTCATTTTATATCCATTCAAACTTCAAAAACTTTCTCACTCCAAAAAACACTTTTCATTTACAAAGTATTCATCTTCAGCAAGCAACCACAACTTCTGATATAAATCATTTCATGCAAACCATAGAAGTATCTAAAAAGGAGAACACACACATACACACACACACACAAACACATGTGTCCATCAGATAAACACTAAGTTACAAAATATTTCATTCACATTTAATCTAGAGAAATGCTATAAGTACATAATGTTGTACATAGAGGTGTAGATAACACTCACATTAAGTGGGTCCTACCAAAAATAAAAAATTAAGTGGAACCCACTACATGTGAGTGTTATGTACACCTCTATGTATTATGTACTTGTATGTACTTGTAGCATTTTTCTTTAATCTATACTCAAAATCCAACTCAAGTTTAACTCAAACACACTATCCTTAATATTATTCATACAACTAAATAATACAAACCAATCATTCTTATACATCACATAAACTTTAATTCACTATTCATCCACTCACATAATTTTAACTAATCATACTTCACATCATCTCTCTCATACTCTTCTACTATTACATCAAATCAACTTTAGTTACTTTATTATAAACTCAAAATCTCACCAACAACTAACCATACCACTTTTTTCAAAATTAACTCTAGTTAACAAGAAAAACTCATTTTGAGCGGGTTAATTTGTATTTTGTAAACAAGCACACCCTAAAATTGAAAAAAAAAATTGCAAGAAAAGAAAAAAAGTGCAGGTAATTCACCGTTTCATCATCCCCAACGTCAGCAAGGCACTCGTCATTCGGACTGTATATCCCGAATATTGAGCCGGTCGAGACAGCCGCATCTATATTGGACGACCCATCGAGAGGATCGAACACAACAATGTAGTTTCCGGAATAACTCTCCTCCACAGCCACCGGAACATCCTCTTCCTCTGAGGCTATGATCCCGGTCCTCCCGCTCGATTTCAGACAGTTCGAGAAAACCTATAAAAAAAAAGATTATTTCGAAACCCATTTGAACACAACATTCTCTTGATATACCAAACTAACATTTGTCACAAAGAGGTATAAAACTATAGGAAAATGCTACATACAAGACACAACCTAAAAGCCACAATAGCTTCTCTATACAATAGGTTACTCAACATTCTTGCATATTCTCAGAACTTATAAGCAGCAAAAAGGTTCAAGCTTTTCCCACCAAAACACTCATTCCCAAGCTAAATCATAAATTAACCTAAACACCGAGCTTCAATACTCAAATCTATTCACAACCCCATCAAATTAATGCAAAAAAAGGTTCAAGCTTTTCCAATAGAACACTCATTCCCAAGCTAAGTCATAAGTTAACCAAAAACTGAGCTTCAATACTCAAATCTATTCACAACCCCATCAAATAAATGCAACAAAGGTCCAATATTTTTCTATTAAAACACCCATTTCAAAGCCAAATCATAAAATAACCAAACACTGAGCTTCAATACTCAAATCTATTCACAACCCCATCAAATAAATGCAAAAAAGGTTCAATCTTTTCCCACTAAAATACCCATTTCAAATCCAAATAATAAAATAACCAAACATTGAACTTCAATATTCAAACCCATTCACAATCCTCTCAGAAAAATGCTACAAAACAACACATCCTCATCAATCATCCCCAAAATTCCACACGAATTTTCACCAAACACAACAAACCTCGTTGGACACGACGTCGAGCTTCTTCTGATCCTCTCCCTGCACATTGACCGCGCCCTGAACTCCGGTGAGGTTAGAAATCCCGGCCCTCTGAACGAGCGAGGCTATCTGCTTGCAGGCCATGGAGATGCTCGAGATGACTATGGTCAGCTCGGCGTCGATGGCGCCCGATTGCTCCTGCTTCAGCAGCCAGTTGGTCAGCGTCTGTATCTCGTACCCGCTCCTCTTCTTCGTCTTCTCCCCCTCCGCCACCGCCATGCGCCGCACGCGGACGCTTCCGGCCGCCGCGGCGGGGCGCCTCTTCCCAGCGGCTCCGGTGACGGCGGACGTGCGAAGGCGGGTCGGGCACGAGATGGGTCGGGAGGTGGAGAAGAGGAGGCGGTGGGATGCCGTAGTTGTGGCCGTGGCGGTGGTGGTGGCCATTTTTGTTTTTTCTTGAAAAAAAAATCTGATCTTTTTCTTGGGCCGCGACCTTGTGTCGACTATCGAGTGAGTGACTCTTCGATTTTTCATTTTTTATGTTTTCTGTTTAATTTTCGTACGTTCGGATTTGAGAGGCTGGTGATGGCTTACGTGTCAGTTCGTATGGGACCCACTTATCTTCGTCTAATCTGAATAGGAGGAACAACGGGCCTATGTGTTTGGGCCCAATATTCCTACGTGAACATTAAGGTTGAGAAAATGTGGCCCAATAATAAAATTGGGCCTCACTCGCACGTGACTGAATTATTTGGAGCTTTTGTGGCTTGTTGGATCAACTAATATTTTGTTTTTCAACAAACCACAGCAGTAATATAATTTTATACAACAATAATATAATTTTATATAATTCAAAATAAAATAAATTATAATATCTTGCGTCAATTGAAATCATCACAACGTGGGCAATGATCGTGAGCCCAAGCTGAATAAAGAAACGCAAAATGAAGGAAGCAAACCTAAAAAACCAAACAACATACAACTAAAAACAATAATACAAACTAAAGTAAACAAATTGAAGACAGAACTAATGTAGTGGTTCAATAGTTCAAACTTTAATCAACCATAGAAATATGATTTTTTTTTTTAAAAAAAATAATTTGTTTATTTATATATTTATATATTTTTAGGAGATATGAACCTAGAGTTCTGCAAGATATAAAAGAGGAACAAGCTGCATCTCTTAAAAGTTCTGTACTTTGCCAAAATTGAATCTCTCTAAAATCTCTAGCTTCAAAATCGGCTTATCCTACCAAAGGAAAAGGAGAGTGAGGCCCAAAAAGGACAACTGAACACTATTTTCTTGGGTCTAAAAATATAATTAATTGGAGATTTTGTCCACTGAACTATTCCAAATTTCCAATTGGAGGTTGACATGTTACATCACCATGTATTTAACTCGTCTGTGAAATGGGAATGTAGAAATTATGCACGTAGACTAATTAATATCTTTCCAGTTTCCCGCCGACGAGGAAATGTCAAATTCATAAAGTAGATTGTATTTTACTTAACATTTTTCGTTGATTTAATATTCTAGAACATGCAATATGTGGAATCTATTGATGTGCTCAAACAAATCGACCATCATAATCTCGGGTCCAAAATGCTAGTTTCGAATAATAGATTGAGTAAACAATATAATCTCAGGTCCAAAACATTAGTCTTATTGTAAATATTACGTATAATAATCAAGTCTACATGTCTTAAGACTTTATTTTTATTATAAATCTATCCACATATGTTGTATGTGCACATAATATCAGACAATACATATTTCACACGTACCATTACATCATTTGTGGATGATTAGCTCCATATATAAATAATCCAGTAACTTTATAGAAATTAAATTTAACATTGATTGTATGTAAAAATGCAAATAACTCAAACAATTTACACGTTTGAGCCCAACTTGTTTTTATCAAAAATAATTTTATGTTATAAAAGAGTCAAATCTTAGCTCATATTCAAACCTACCAACTAGCTTGCGAACGAACTAGTTGATAGTATATATGTAATGAGTAATGCTATACCAATACTCGTTTAAATTTTGGAATTCTAACGAGTTACATGCCAAATAATATACAATCTTAAGCTTGTAATATGATAAAAATAATATTGGAATAAATAGTCGAAAAACCATTCATAATCAAAGTACTTTAATTCCAAGTTATGACCGAGTCAAGGCCATGTAGAAATTTCCAAACGTCGGAAAATTCAAACGTGCAAACCTCTCAAACACGTCTATAATGGGTTGGCATCAACATGAAATTTTGAAAAACCAAACACCAAAATCTAAATGAAATTAAATAAAATAAAATCACATCGTATATTCCCACATAATACTATGCTAAATAATCAACACCATACGATAAGACTAATAACGCGTGAGGTCCAATCAGGCACGTCCATCGACCCTTGACCTTCCCGAAAACTAGTTGTTGTCACTTTTCATTTCGAAAATTGTTCAAACTTTAACCCCACATTAATTAATTTAATTCATAGGAGTCTTTTGTAATGCGTTGTTTTAGTTTTTACTCTTTCGTTAGGACGGACAAGTAAAAACATTTGACATTCGATTTGTTGCTTACATTTTTTTATTTGAAAAACTCAAACATTCCTTACTTTTATTGGTAAAATTGAAATTAAGATTGGGATCTTCGTATCAAATAACGAGTTGAACATGTTACCATTTTACATTTGACTGAATGCCTTGGGTTTGCAATACTCGAAAGTTCGTGAATGTTGTGATTTTCATGTCAAATAACGAGCCGAATATGTAACTATGTGATTTTCGGTTTGTAGGCTGCATGTTTTGATTTGAAAAACTTGAAAGTTCGTTAGTTTTATTGACAAAATTAAAAGTTTGAGATTTTCTGTTAGATAACGAACCAAACACATAACCATCTAATTTGTTGACCGCATAATTTGATTCGAAAATCTCGAAAGTTGGTTACTTTTATTGACAAAATTGAAAGGTTTTTTGAGATTTTAATGTCATTAATGAGTGGAGATACATAGTCATCCAATATATGATTTGTTGATTGCATGATTTGATTCGAAAAACTCGAAAGTTCGTGACTTTTATTCACGTCAGGTAACATGTCTTGACACATGACTATGTAATTCAATTTGCTAACTTCGAAAGGTAGCGTTTTCCATTGGCAACATTGAAATATTATGATCTTCATATGAGACAGCAAGTCGAACAAGTAGCCATCTCGATTCTCGTGTATAATTTGCTCTACATGCTTTGATTCGAAAAGTTCAAAGTTTGTTACCCTTAATATGACAAAACTAAAAAGTCAGATAACGAGCAGAACACATAATCATCTAATGCGTCAATTTGACAAACTAAAAAATCGAGACTTTTATTGACAAAATTAAAAATGTCCGGATTAATTTGCATTCTAACAAAAAAAATAAAAAAATATTTAATTTACAATTTAGCCCAACTTTACTCCAATTCCAAAGTCCATACCACATACTCTCTATATATATAGAACTGGCCAACCTGCAATTCGTATCTAAACCCATTTTTCTCTTCTCCTCCACAAAATCAGGCAACCAAAAACCCCAAATCANAAAAAAAAAAAGAGCAGAGCAAAAACCTAACATACAAATCGAGATCTTACAATGGCTTCCTCTGCAAAAACGCCATTGATACTCATCCTCGCCTGCTTTCTCTTTCTCCGAGGAGCCATGGGTACGCCCCCAATTTAATCAACCTTACTCATTTTTTATTAATTTTTACCTATTTATTGCAATTGTACCCAATTTTTGAAATTTTGATCGGAAAATGTGTGCAGGGGAGCTGATCTGCGAGAGCTTGCCGGCGAACCTGTGCTCGTTCGCGGTCGCGTCGTCCGGCAAGAGGTGCGCCCTTGAGAACCGCGTGAGAGAGGAAGGTACCGTGGACTACACGTGCACGACGTCGGAGGTGGTGGTGGTGAGTATGTCAGGGTACGTCGAGACCGACGCGTGCGTGGCCGCGTGCGGCGTCGACCGCCAGGTCGTCGGGATCTCGTCCGACGCGTTCCTCTCCGACGGATTCACGGCGCGGCTGTGCTCGCCGGAATGCTACCAGAGCTGCCCCAATATTGTCGACTTGTATTTCAACCTCGCCGCCGGCGAAGGTAATATTATTGTTTTACCTAATTTTATTTTATTTTTTTCACTCGGTTTAGTAAAAGTAAGTTACATTTTTTGCGAAATATTTTGCGGTGATATTGCCACGTGTATTTGACCTTTTTTTTTTTCAATTGACTTAATATAAGAATATTAAAATGGATACCTAAGGACATTAGACCGTGATATATTTTATACGAAGCATAGTATAAACATAAAAGATAATACAGTTTCTATTTATATTTTGTTCTTTGCGAATTGCATTTTCTTTTATATCTTTTTGTTATTTTAAATTAATATTATATGTAAATTGTACGTGCAGGCGTCTATTTGCCGGCTCTATGTGAGAAGCAAAAGTCAAACCCCCGCCGTGCCATGTCAGAGCTTTTTATCAGCAGCGGCGGCGTATTTGCCGCTGCTCCGGCGGGCCAGCCCAATTACGCTGTTGAAGATGCACTTGCTCCGGCCCCAGCTGTCCACTAATTTTCTTGTCCATTATTAGTATGATGTCTGAAGTTTTATGCTAGAAATTCTTTTGAGGCACATTTGATGAGATTCATTTATTTAGAGAATTTGATTATTGAGGAGAATGGACAATTTTATTGCTCATTTGATTTTGTATCGGGATTTCATCATTTGATCTTTTATATGATGGCATTTTATATATAATATCTATATTATATTATGTTAAATTATTGTTATTTTGTATTTGTTATTGATTATGATCTTGATCTGCTCAACATATCATTAAAGTTAACAAAAATTGCTAGTTATATTTTTTCAGATAATTAAATTTAGAAAGACTTTCGATTTTTGTCAAACAAATAACATTTCTTAACAAATTCTTTTTTTTTTTTCTTTTTCAAATACAACATTCATTGACTATTTGGAGTTTTGACCAACTATTAATGAAAACATTGAATAGTAAAGAAAAGTTTATTTAGACTGCAAATCATGTGCAAATTCAATGATACACACGCACAAAGAGCAAAAAATCAGGTCCAAAGATTGACAAATTCTATCCTAACACCCACACACAGAGTAAAAATTCCGGGGATTTTTTATTTTTTGTTAAATCCAACTATTATTATTGTTTTTGTTTGAGAAATACCGGCTGGAACGTCTTTTATTAAAATTCAGTTATTATCATAAATGTTCAGATGTTGGATTAGTTATGATGTTGGAATAGTTAAAATCCAACATAATTAAAGCTAATTAATTCCTATAAATTAATTCATTTGCTTTCCACTAGAATTTCATGGAAAATTTCAAATAAAAATTATAGCATTAGAACATCAATTGTAATTTCTCTATATAGATTATCATCAAAAGCCTCTCTATATGCCCATTTAAAAAACATAACACTTCCCTTTATTCAAACAATATATTACAAGGAATCGTTATGAATAACATTATTCAAAATTCCAATGCCATACATACCAACTAAACGCTCAAATCAGAAACACAAGGCTAAACAACAAAAAGAAATCAAATTCCTCAAAGGCCAACAACATATATGTATTTTTGCAGCATAACTAATTTAGCATTTGGGAAAATCCGGCGGTGGTGCCGGCAGCCTAGTCTCCGGCGTTGGCCCATTCTCCACCACAAAAGCCATCGCTAAACCAAACGGCAAGTGTTCGTCAAAATGACAATGCACCAACCACACACCTGCAAATTTAATTATATTATTTCACTATATAATCGCAACGAAAATAATTATCGACGAACATTTTCTTAAAAATTTACCTGGATTATTTGCTCGGAATCTAATAACGGCCCATCCTCCGGTCGGGACGGCTATGGTGTTACGTTCTTGAGGGTTTTTAAAATTGAACCTTTTACTATCAACATTGGCATTATAATTTCCAAATCCTTGAGCCAACACATAGAAATTGAACCCATGCAAGTGCATAGGGTGATTCTCGATTCCGAGGAGAGCCGTGTTCTGCAACACCATCTCGACCGTCGAATTAAATCTCACTTTCTTCACCTTTGTCGATTTAGTCGTCATCAAAAGCGCGACATTGTTAGTATTGTTCGCGTTCGTGTAGTCGAATTCCAACGGTGGATTGTCCGGGAAGTCTGCAGTGTACACACCACCGGTCGTGTTTCTAAAAAAAGCCTCGAGCATCGATATCCCGGTTGGAAATCGGAAAGACGCGTTGTTCATGCTAAAGGCTTGTTTAAGCCCAAACGGGCCTTCGCAAGTTGCGTTGCCGGGCCTGTCGCAGGGTGTAAGGCCCGAGCCCACGGTCACAAACATGTGCTCGTTGACCATGCGGGGAACCGGGACCCAGAATGGGCCAGTCGGAAGCCCGGTTAGGTTTGTGAAGAATTTGTGGGCCGTGGGCGTGTCGTTGAAGGCAGGAAGGACAGGCATGACGGGCCTCGATGATTTTGATGATGATCCCTCGTAGACTATGATTCCGGTTGTTGTGCCATTGTTGAACGGGCCTCCGTCGACCGCGCTTATGTAGGGACGGGCTGCCATGTAGTAACGGGCTGGGCTTTGGTCGGCTCTGAGGAGGACGTCGGTTGTTTGGCCCGGAGCCACCACGACGAGGTCGGTCGTGTATTTGGTGGTGTAGGAGGCGTCGACGGCCACGACAGTCATTTTGTGACTCGCGATCTTGAAAAACAGGTGGTTGTTCAGTGCAGCGTTGACTATTCGGAGGAGGTAGGTTTTTCCTCGAACGACTTGTAAGTTGAATGTATCTAGAAATTTTTCAAGAAAACTACTAAGTTCGTAACCAATGTAAGTGAATTTGTAACTAAAGAATTACGAGAACGTAACACGTGATTGATAGGGATGTATATGAGCTGAGCCCCATTCAGCTTGTTAATTAAACGAAGCAAAAATTAAGTTCGAGCTCGACTTATTTATGAATATTAATTATAACGAGTTGAGCCGATCTTGAGTCGAGTCGAGCCCGACTTGTTAACGAAATGAGCTTTAAACGAGGTCGAACTCAGCTCCTCTATCAAATAAATCGAACTGAATTCGAACTTTAATTAGTCGAACTGAGCTCATGAGGGGCTCGCTTCGTTTAGTAACGCTAGTGATTGGTGTGACGCTTACTATTTGAAGAGCATGGGTAGAGGTCTCCGGGTTGACCGTTGACCGTATAAGCGTCTGAAATATTAGGTGTGCCACCTGTGGCTATTGCTTGGTTCTCCACGTCAATAATATTGGAATTCCACCATTCCCCTAAAAAAAACAAAATCATTTTAAATTATTAATATGTATACATTGCAGTGTTCAGATTATATAATTTTATTCATTATTTCAAGTTAAATGATCACAAGCATTCGAACAATTTGGGCCACAATAATATCCTCACCCGATTAATTTACTTATTTATAGAATGGTTATTTATTATTTTGAAATGTCAAACAGTAAAAGATGCCACAATTGATTGTGTAGTGGTAGTGCTTTACTCAGAGGGCTTTAGACGAGTAGTGCTGAACTGAGGTGGTTAATTAAACGATCTCGAACTCAATCGTTTATCAAAATTAACTAGTCGAATTTGAGTCTTAACAAGACAAGTCATGCTACGAATTTATTCAAGAAATTATATAAAAAATCTTATTTCTCAAATGCATTAATTAAACGAGCTCGAACTTTAACGAACATGATAGAACTCACGAGTAGCTCGTTTCGTTTACAGCTTACCAAGAACAATTGGGATTTCTACATCAGGTTTTGGGAATGGGTAGGATCTTCCAGGTCTGGGTCGGATGATTAGGGCTCCGTAAACCGTAGCCCGTAGCCATTGACTGTGTGCATGCCACCAAAGAGTTCCCTCTTGTCGGGTTATGGTGAATTTGTACGTGTAGCTAAGTCCGGGCCGGATTGGGCATTGGGTTGCATACTCCGGCCCGTCAGCCCACCCGCTCATAAGTTGAAATACTCCATGCCTGAAATCAATTAAATTATTCAATTTGTTGACTCAATAATAATAATAATAATAATTATTATTATTATTATTATTATTATTATTATAGTAGTAGTATACCAATGAATGGTTATGTTGTAAGGCGACTTGTTTAAAACGTGGACGATAAGGGTATCGCCCTCGTGAACTTCAATACTTGGGCCTGGAAGACTGTCATTCACCGTTGTAATTACTTGATCTCTACAAAGTCGATTAACCCTAAAATTTTGCACCTGTAATTAAATAAAAACACTTATAATTAATAATAATCTCATGTGAACATGGTAATATTCCGAAACAATATATATTCACACGTATTCTATACTAAATACACTTAAAATGTGTCTCAATTCATTAAATAATGAATAACACTATAGAATATATGACATTCCAAATTTCTCATGTCACTATACAAGTCCTATTTATATGATCATTTTCTTGAAAAGGATGATGGAAATAATAATAATAATGTGATGATGATGATGATGATAAAAATAATAATAATAAAAAAATTACATGAAATGCATGCTCCACAATCTTTGCTGAAGCTATTGCTGAAGAAGCCAAGAGAATAAGAGTGCAGGCCATAGAGACCAATATATGGCCTGCCATATTTTAGTATACTAAGATAAGATATGTGAACAAGGATATTGGATATATGCAAAGTAAAGATGAGAAGCCCTTATACTATGAAATGGAAGGCCCCTTTGTAGTAAAAGGTGGCAATTTCTTTCCTCCTTTCATTGTCTTCTTTTCTTTCTTTCATTTTTTTATTCAATTAAAATAATCTCACCTTCCCTAGTAAGTGTGGTATTTGCAATTCTATGGATTATTTTTTTTTTATTTTTTTTTAATTTTACTTTCATTTGTTCATGCATGGTGGTGACAACCAATCCAACCACGCGATAATACTCTGAATAAAATTAATCAACTATGCAACAATTTTGTAAAATTTTATTCAACTAAAATTTGATACCGTCCACCACGCGATAATATTCTGAATATTTTAGTCAAATTTTAGACATGATCGAACTAAATTATTTTCTGAATGACACATTTATGTGGCAATCCACGCTCAAACAATAAATTGAAAATCATTAACACATCAACAAAATGACAC